TCGTTGTAATTGTTCACATGGTTGTTCAGACTGGCTGAACTCCTGAACGAGTCATGATCCACGATATTTCCGTTGGCTAGCTTAGAGTCGATGGTATCTTTAGACTTGACGTTTCTCAAGTAGAAGAGGAAGCAATACAGATAGAGGAGACCCACGTTTAAGAAATAACCAATGACAGCAGCAGGAAGGAGTGCCCTGAATGTTGTAGCCAGGTTGATATTCAGCACTGAAGCAATATAAGCATTCTGTGGGTTACCCATGATAGTAGCTGCACTACCGATGTTAGCAGAGGTTGCTATACCAAGCAGAAGAGGGAGAAACTCTTTGGTACTTCTGTGCTGTTTCTGATGTTCCATGAGTACAATGGGCGTTAACATGACACAAGCTGCATCATTTGTAATTACAGACGACAGTAAAGCAGATATCAAGCAAATTACCCAGAGTATTGCGTAGAACGAGCGTTTGGGCGTTATAATCCTTTCGAGAATTAACGACATCAACCCTTCTCGTTCCATATACTGCGCGAATAACATCATACCTAACAACAGACACAACGTTTGGAGATTGTCTTGTTCTCCCAGAATTTCATAAACGTTCGTTTGAGTTAACACCATTGTTATCACCATACCCATAGACCCTACCCACACAGCTGTTATTCTCCCAATTGGGAAACATTTGAATTCCATCACTAGAAATGGCCAGACGATAAGATACACAGCTGTCCCCATCCCCAGGATCAGTGGGGGTGCTAGTTTTGTTGCATTCACACACTGGTTTATTTCAGTAGCATTGATAAGGGATTCCATCGCGAAATTCCTAATAGGTATTTAGCGAACTTTGTTTGTGAGATTTAAATCGATGATAATTGTTAAGTTATAAAGATGAATCTATCATTTCACAATTTGTGGTAATTCGAATGTATGAAGCTAAGACAACAAACATATATACCATTCGAGGACATGCTGTCAATAGCTTAAGCCATATAGTGAAATACTCTTTTGGCTGCTGAGCAGGTTTCATAAATGAGATTTTTTGAACTAAGCTATTATAGATACTCCGAAACAATTGCTAACAGCTGGAGGTAAAATGATCAAGATCACATTGTAGAAATGGTCAAAAAATGTACTATTAATTCAAGATTGATTGTAGTAGACTTAGAAGTATTTTCTAGGGCTTACTTTTTTGGGTTTCCTTTTTCACTCTCTTGCATGATTGATTGTTCCATCTGTTCTCAATGAATAACTATTGTGCACTTACGAATTGTCAAACTTGAAACTTGTAATTGCTATTGTTAGATGGATTGAGAGGAAGATTGGAACTTCCTTAGCATTCTATATGGAACATCCTAGCTAATTTCACTAGAAACGTTTATAATCTCAAATACATAAGTAAATGCTTCCATTGTTTATAATTATCTTCTTTTTCATTTCATGCATAACATTACCTTAAGGTTCGCCTGAAATACAAGATTATGCTATCAACAAGTTCTATGAATAATGATACTAGTTCCAAAAAGGAAAGTTTTTATATTATTAGCGATTATTCCTACGTTCATTGTTAGTAACACTCTGTTTTTAGTTATTACAACCAGGGCTGTAGGAATTGGGGCGGCGCTTTTCATGTGCTTTCGACTCCCCTGGGTACAACCTTTGTTACAACGGCTATATAACGGAAACTAGTTATGCTGAGTTCTAATTTCATACGTATTTTAATGATTTTAAATGTTATTGAAAATAATGTAAATATAATTAATACGTATATCAACACATTAGATTCTTAATTATCCTTCAAACTCAAAGCACTGAGTACGAACAAGGCCGCGAAAAACGGCATTATTAGAACCATTGTTCAATCATTAAACGATTGGATTAGTAGAGAAAATCTTAAATTCTATGATGTATCAAGTTTATAGTAAAACTCTTGGCATTTCTGCGTGTAATTCGGGACAACTGAGACATATCTAGCATAAACGACCAATTTCTTAATATCTTATTCCATATCTACAGGATACTATACATAATCTATATTATTAAATCTCAATTGTTGTTTGTCTGTGGTCAAGGAAAGGATTTATGGTATGCAATTTTGAAATTGTCGTATAACTATGCATTTATCATGTTTATCAAAAAAGTATATAAAATTCAATATAGTTTTCAGACTTTTGGATTAATCATATCTAAATTTATTGCTGTTTTTATGAATATATTAAAAGTAAAATTTACAAAATCTCAAAATTTACGTAGACTTGCCCTCAACGGGTACAAATGGGTTGATCTTACAAAATAATTCAATAATATATGCTATATACGTATATTTGTGAATTACATTGTTCTAAATATATCTATATTATAATACTCAAAGGGCGTCAATTTGGAGAATAATGGGTACCTTAAAGCGCAATGCGCCGAGTTCATCACAAAGTCAAAGGCTCGTTTTAATAAAATGTAAGAAAACGAGATTTAATTAAACATCGAAAAGATAATTTAGTAACTTCAATTACTGTGTTAGATTGTATTTGGATTACAGTTAGAATTCGTAATTGTTAGAACTGAAGCCTCGTAATCTAGGGCTTTAGCCCCCTGACACGACTACCGTAAACTCATAGAGCGAGGGAGCCTCGGGTGATATGTCAAAATGAAATTACTTCTTAGTTCTTCATTAGTTTAATGGTTTTTCCCAAATCCCAGATTTATGGATATACTAGATCCGAATAACTTGAAAATTTGGACAGCTCTAGATTTGGATGTAAGAGTTCTAAAGAGAAATTTTCATCCCTTTCGGTGATTAATCATATTTCACACCTTTAGATGTATTTTACATCATCATAGAAATTTTCTTTATTAACCAATTATTACAAACATTTCTAAAATGAATATTTCCTTAGTACTGAATATAGTTGTATCACTTGGCTTCGATTAATATTCAAAGGTATTTTTCTGATTTATTGAGTCATTTTATCATTGTTTTCCCTTCTGTTCCCCAGATTAGGTTTCCACTGAAGCTTTATCCTTTCGTCCATCTTTTTAACATAAACTGAACTTTTTAGGATTTATGCATCTGTTCTTAAGATGTATATCTGCTGACAATTTCGAGTAGAATATTTTATCAGAATTTGCAATATACTTATTAGTTATTTATCTTTCCTAATTAGAAACACATATAAATATTCGGCATTCTTTTGTTTTACATGACCTTCTCTTTGTGTAATTGCGCTGTATTGTAAACAAGTCTAGAACAGTTGCGAATATTCCCACAGCTGGAAACCGAATTTAGTGATTCTTCAAATATAGTACCTACGTATCAAAAACATAAGTTTGTTGCAGCTTGTAAGATACTGAAATAGAGTAGGCCACTTTGCTGTTTAGAAAACTTTTTTTTCCTTCCTTAACTTTGCAACTTAACCATCATAAACTCAGCAATACTCATCCCTTAGCCTCCTTCGAATACGTACCGTTCTATGTAAACAATAAGGTCATGAAACGAAGAGGGTTTTCTTATCCTCATTTTGAAATACCTAAGCCTCTTTGAATTGCAATTGAACTCTGCTCTCTTGAGGTTTCGAGATATGCGGAATTAATTGAGACCACTTAATTAGTTCAAAACACCATCCTTCATTTTGTTCAGGTGCGATTCGAATCATGACACTTTCAAATGTCTAACACGATTATTGATTTCAATTAAACTATGAACCGGTTCTTCATTCCCAAATCGAAAATTATCTGATAATAACATAATTAATGTACTTTTATGATAGAAGCTGACCATCCACGCTATCCGCGTTTTCACAACTTGAAGTAGGATTTTTTTGGCCCTCTCGCCTCACTTGATTAAATGAATTACATCTAATCCTTTGACTGTGAATCCTAACACCTTGTTGATGAAATTTATTGGTTCTAATCCGATATATTTTATCAACACCTCAATACTATGAACACAGATTCTTGTATTCTATTTCTCTCTAGATAAGCTAATTGAATTACAGGTATTTAGCGCTTTTTTATTTTCCTACATTCTCTAACATTAATCTTATTATCGATTTCATTAATTTTACTTTCCAAATATCATTTCATGTTAAAATTGGATTGCTCAATCACTCAGTGTCGTTAGGATGGATGGACAGACTAGAGGTCGCTAGCTCAGCCCGAGCCTGAGGCATATGGTCTAGGACCTATACTTTAGGGTTCCGACTAAATCAGCCATTAAATTTTCAAATCATTGTAATTCATTCAATTTTAGAAAATTTTCTAAACCATGTTGTAGGTATGCTTATGTGAGGGGCCGAGTAAGTCATTCCCGAGAATTTGGAAATAGAATACTTTCATGGTCCATACAATTGCATAGCCAACAAACGTGTTACGTAACTTGTAAAGAACCCGTTTTAGATATTGCCTCTCTGGAACCATTAAAGTTTTGTTACTTATATTGCATGAGCTCTATTTTTCCAGGTCTTGATATTTCAATCAGTTCTATTGTAATGTGGTATATGGATTCACTTCACTTCTAGAGTTTGTTTCTTTACAGAGATTACAACACATAAATTCTACAATCACGTTCTGATGGTGATATCACTCTGACTCCTTTAGAGTAGGATGAATACAGCATTTAAGAAACACTTTAATAAGTATTCAGAACCACTTAGATTTCTTCTAATGAATACTCATCCTAGGTTATTGAAATTGGAATACATACAATTTGTGAAATTACAATTCGTGACATGATTATTGATTTAAGGATCGATATTTTTGCCAAAATTTCAATGCATTGTGTATTGACATAATTTTCCAATACCACTATGTTACCATAATTTATTGAAGTTTTGCCTAAATCTGCCATTTTGCACAGTATACATAAGTTTCTACATATATATTCAACAGAAAGATATTTTCCACGAAAATGCAGCAACCACTTTGCGTAAATCATGGTTTTTGAAGGATTTCTATTATGTGGCTACACGTTCACAGCAACATTTGTAGCTATTAATAATAATATATTATCATTACGCATTGGTGGTTCAGTGGTAGAATTTCCGCCTGCCACGCGGGAGGCCCGGGTTCGATTCCCGGCCAATGCATACTTTTTGTACTACTTAAGTAAGCATGAACTGGAAAATTTTCTGAACCATGAATAAGAAGTATATATTGTTGTTGTTGGAGGTATTAAAAAGTTGAGTGCGCATGCGCACTGGGGTGATATTTTTCGCCGAAATTTAGATTGTTTGTAAATATTTTGCAGAGCTACTTAATCTGTAAAGATATTCAGAAAATAGTTATTAATTATTACTAGCTAATTGGAATGCTTGTGTGTATAAAAATGAAAGTTGTATTGTAGTTGTTTCTGGTGAAATCAATCATGTGAATTCCAAAAGCTCCCTACCGTTGTTGCTATAATGCTTGGGGTTTTCAACCTTTTACACCTTACGCCTCCTCTTATTGATGTGGGAAATACTCACGACCCCTCATCATAACTATACGAAATTAAATATTAGAGGGTTTTACTTAATACGACATCTAATCATACATACATAATTATGAATGAAATTTTCATTTATGCTTAATGTGAGGGTTGAAACTGTTATTTTTCAACAAGTTGAGAAATCCTTGGCTCGGTTTTAGAAAGACAACATCCAATCTATTTCGATTTTTCGTTTTAATTGTTAGTAGACTGGAGAAACCTGTTTCACTTAACCAGGTAGAAGGAAATGCTAGTAGTGCCTTAATTGCGATTTGTGATACCAATGGATAGGTGTGTAACATGGAACACCAAAACTGTGGGACACTCATCGTTGAAAATATAGCCTTTGCTCCCGAGTCATTAATCAAATTTGCAAATTCTTCTTGGGCATCATCCTGATCATCTGTAATTCAATCTTCCACTTTTTGCACAAAAGAGTTTCGAATTAAATTATAGTCTGATTTCCTAATTTCTGGGAAATATCGCGTAAATTAATCCTTCATAACTTTGAGGTGTAAAATAATTGCATCTCTTAACTCTTCAGGTTACCGATAATCATGGATTTCAATCAAATTTGTGACCCTAGAAACATGTCCATTCTCCCATCTTCGATTTCCTTATCCACAGGTCGAGCATACTTTGGAAAGCAGTTAGCTTCTCCACAAAATCCATAATGTAACTTTCTTTTCCTTGTAATGAAAGATTGAGGATATTTAGCTTTTCGAAGATATCAGCGAGATAAGAGAGGGTCAGGAGCCAAGAATTATCATTAAATAGTGCTACCCAGTCTTCTTTATTTTGCAACTTGAAAAACTCTTTAACTTCTACATGCAAATCAAGAAGACGCTTTAGTACATTTCCCTTTGGCAACCAACGGACCTCTGTGTGGTACAAAAGCGTTATGTGCGTCGCATCCATATCAAGACAAAGATTTCGGAAAATCTGTGTATTCAGAGCACTTGATTTAATGTAATTTACAATTTTGATGGAAACTTGTAAAACACATTTCAGTGCATCTGGCAAAGTCTTTGATGCCAATGCTTCTCTATGTATCATACAGTGATTTCCTGTAACATACGGTGCAGATTCTTTTTTGTGCTTCATGAATCCAGAACGACAACCAAGCATCGCTGGAGCACCATCTGTGCAAATAGATAATAGTTTTTCATATTTAAGGCCTTCACGTTCGATAAAGGAACTTAATTTATTGTAAATATCGATTCCAAGTGTTTGCAAGTCAATTTGTTCACAAAATAAAAATTCATCTTTAAAATCCGATGTATAGATGTACCATACGAAAACAAGGAGTTGAGCACATGATGCAACATCTGTGGATTCATCCAATTGTAGGCTAAACAATCCTGAGGGGGATTCTTAATATCCTCAGTAAGATCCATAATTCGACGCTGCACAGTGTTATCGGACAAAGAGATATTATTAAGTTTTCTCTCTGCATCAGTGCCAATCATAAGGCGTACAATGTCTTTTATGCATGGAAGTATTAATTCTTCTCCAATTGTATGAGGTTTCTTTGCTTTTGCAATCCGTAATGATACAATATAAGAGACTTTTAGATCTGATTTTGAACTAGTATAAAAATCACCAGTAGCATCGAGCTTAGTCCTCTTTACAGTGTCCACCTTTTGTTGAAAGAAAGAAATATCTTATCCTTATAATTGGGATGTTCCTTTTCAAAATGTCTTTTAGCTGGAATGGTTTCATAGATTCAGCTGACAATACTTTGAAACAAATTACATATTGTGACTTTACAATACTACGACTGTTGATACTCGTAAATCCAAATTTTAAAAAGTCTTCGGAGTTCGCTTTTTAATTTTGCTTTTTCCAGCCATCTTAACAGTGGTTTTTGAATGCTGGATTTTGTAAAAATTGAAGTACGAAGATAAAATGAGAAATGTCAAAGGATATACGTAAACAAAATATACCTAATTGGAGTATTTATAGATTTATATTGTGAAATATCCATGTACGTATAGTCAGTATGGAAATGATTCCTATTGTTGAAATTAAGTCTAGACACCTCAAGTTCCAATGGATAAGTTGCCATTATTGTCATGAAATACAGTAACAATGTCATATACACATAATTAAAACCATTGTGCATGAGCTGAAATCACATTGCACATAGCAATACACGCACAATGCATTTTAAATTCAGCTAAAAATTGATAATTTAAACAATTTTTGGCTTATTAATAGGTAAATTTTAATGATGTGATGTAAATTATCTGAACTTTTCGCGACCCCAGGTTGAAAACCCCTGCTATAATGTAATCAAGTGGTAAACTATATATGTTGCAGTTTATGGACGTGCTTGGGTGCACGTGTGCACACTGGTGTATGGCCATGCCATAATAAAATGTTCTCTTCTGGTTCTTTACTAAATAATATAATTAGCGATCATTATTATATCATTATTATCAACATTGTAATGTTTCACCATCCTTTGAAAAAGTATTGGAGTTGCTACCTAGAAATGAAAGGGAATATCAATAATTAGTATAAATAATATGACATCATTTGTGATAACATTACAATGTATGCTGGAGGAAATACTATTAAAACATCAATATGATTAAATCTCAAGTGTTGTTTGTCTGTTGAATACCTCGAGTCGCAATGCACCAAGCTCATCGCAAAGCGACGAGCCAAAGGCTCATAGAGAATATATTCTAACAATACAACACTCACACACACATAGAACAACATACACATGGGTAAACAGTAGGATAGTATGGATACTATCAAACGAGGGAGTTATGAAC